TAATTAAATATAGGATTAATGGGTAAATCATATTGAATATGGTATATATCATCCATCCATGCTATGGATCCTATTGACCCCATTGGTCACCCCAATCGTCATCAAAGTTGTTTACATAGCAATTGACCCCATTTTGCACGTTATCCGCTAAATGCTTACAATTATAACATAAATGTCTTTTAATTGCCATCAATTGAACAGCTTTTGGCACTAATTTTCCCAATAAATAGTCACCAGTGAAGGCATTGATCTCTTTTATGTAATCCATGTCTTTATCAATGATTGTCTCGTAACTCAAATCAATGAATTCCTTAACACTTGCTTTCAATTCATTCATATTATAATTGAATGCAATTTTCGATATAAACACCAAATTATTCACTGAAAGACGTTTATTCAAGTGTTGGCCAATCAATGGCAGAATTCGGGGCAAACCGTAAGCGTCGGCCAGTTTGCAGACATCGGTCACGAGATCGCAATCCAAGTCTTCGTTGCCATCGAATGATAACTCATGAGTATATAAGTACCAAACGATGGCTTTGAACGCCTCATAAGTGGTGTCTTTGATTTCGATCTCCTTTTTGTCGGTTTCGGCAAAACTTCCCGAAAACATGGCTCTGAAGTAAACGCTTCCCACCATTAATACGTGTCTCAATGCGGGAACTCTTCGGCCCTCGACTATGAATATGACATCACTTTTGGATTCATTCATAAAGTAATCCATTTCTGGATACAAATCGGTGTTATCTTTGGTTTCCTATAAAACACATGAAATGAATGGTAAAAATTAAAAAATCATTTAAAAATCAACACTTGATTTCATAATCAAATCCATTCAATAGCTATTGTCTTCATTTCTACCTCGTGTTTCACGTCCGGCCCTAAACTCCAATTATAGGCCACCTCTTCCTCCTCGACCTCCCAGTCGTCCGCCATTTCGTTGTCTTCAATACAAATCAAATGTCAATTAAATTCAAAATCAGACAAAAGTATTGAAACAATTTTTAGTCGTATTTTGAATGCAAATGAAATGAAGTGATGATTGCATTCATGAATACAAATATAGCGTTACATTCATTATAAGCCATTTGTCTCAATACAACCACTCATTAATGCTTACGATTAGAGTTAGGGTTTGCATTAAACACTAATTATTTGTAACACTATTTGTGAATCACTCATAATTTAGTGGTCAATGTGTGAGCTATTGTGTTGTACTAGAGGTCAGAATATTAGTGAATAAACACTGAAATGATATGTTTTGAATGCAATAATCATTTAATATTCACTGGATTTAGACCTCTATTGCGCTGACAATGCAATGCAGTATTGAATGAACACATGTTTCACTCCAAACACAAACCAATCATAAAATATCCCTTAATTTGCATTCAATTGCCATTAATTTAGACACAAATACCAACACATGTCTGACGCGAACGGATCCCAAGACAATGGCAGTGGAAGTGGTGGTGGAAATGTGTCCAAAGGAGTGACTGTACTCTTGGACACCACTTCGAAGGCAATGATCACTTCTTGAGCTCATTCTTTAGCATTCATTAAATTAACCATTGATTTGATGATCACTTTTACAGCCAAAACACGTGAAAGACATGAGATATCCAGAGATGTCGTGCTTTTTGAATGAATCGGAAAGCGATGTCGTCTTCATAATCGATGGCCAAAGAGTTCCCGCTTTGAGACAAGTATTGGGTCTCAAGAGTGAAGTCTTTAGAGCAATGTTTTCGGGAAATTTCAAAGAATCGGAAGAGAAAGAGATCCCAATTGAGGACATGAATGCCGAAGCGTTCAAAGTAATGATTCTCTACTTATATACCGATCAACTGGTTTTAAGCGATGGCACAGATGTGGAACTGATCAGTGATGTGGTGAAGATCGCCGACAAATACCAATTGTATCGTTTGATGGAAACAATAGAGAAACACGTGATATCAATAGTAAATGTGGATAATCTGGAGATTATATCGAAAATGGCGTTCACTTATCCGATGAAAAAGTTGAGAACTTGTGTCGAGACGTTTATCGCTAAGAATTTGGATCAATTGTTGGCCAAAAATGCCGAAGAGTTGGCGCCATTGAATGAGGCGACCAATGATTTCTGTTTCAAGACAATGGTTGCGAGTCTTAAGGCAATGACCATTACTTATGAGAAGTACCGAAATGCGGAACAGTATTTCAAAAACAAGATACCCAGCAATGGGGTTATACCGTCTTATATAAACATCAATGGCTGTGATTATCAGCACTACAATGGCTCATATGTCAGAGAATTTGAATTTGAAGACACTTCTAATTAATATTCAATATATTTAATTGTCATTTGAATCACTCATTGCTATGATTTCTATTATAAAACATTTTCTATACTTTTATCACATTTGTTTGATTACTAATTGATTACTTCTGTATTTATAAATGACTGACAATTTGTTTAACATTAATTGTAATATCACTAATTGTTCGTTCTTTGAAACTAATGTTTTGATTATATTTTAAACATGATCTAATTTCTACTAAACAATTAATATTTAATAATATTTACTTTGTAATGAATGTAAAACTTATTTTTATATGAATTAATAAATGTATTGAAACAATATTGAAACGATTGTCATTAATCAATATCTCGCTCTCAACACAATTCAAACAATATTAGAATTGAATTTATTGTTAATTATTTCAAATCATATCTTAAACACTCAAACGATGGCTACTCTTAACTATTGGACACGAGTTTGTTATTTATCAGTGATTTTAACCACAATTTATGCTTATTTCGGACCAAACATTAAATACGAAAATTACATGTTTTGTGACATCGAGGACAAGAAGTTTGTCTCACTTTTCAATTTAGGCAATGATTTGATAATTCAGACCAAAACTGAATTCTTGAAACTCAAGGACTGTATCGATACGGACGAGGCGTTGGAGAAATTCCCGACTCGAAGGGCAGAGTTTGTCAACGACAAGGATATGAAGACATTTCTCAGCAAATATTGGTTTGGTTTGTGATCACAAAACAACTCATTCTCACAATTATCTCATTTTATAACACAATTATGTCTTATTCAACAGATATATACAAACCTGTGTTCGGCTTTACCTTTCAGTTTATGTCCAACTCTTGCGGAAGTCTGGATGTGTTGAACGAATGCACTGAAGTGTACGACGACTCACAGATCTTCTACGCGTGTCTCTACGGAAGCGATACCAATAACGGTATAAATGATCTCTTTGTTAATTGTCGCCAATTCTTAAGAATAACCACTTCTATAGAAAGTGCTATGAATTGTAACGTTTGGATAAACAAATGATTAAATTGATTGACTTTTAGCATCACTGACTTCGATGGCCGCCAAATACAACGACTCCCGACTCATGCTTATCATGTCGTCGGCCCTAAACTCTCGGGCGAAGACTTACTGCGATTCTAAGTGGAAACACAGAGAATCTCATTCATCCAAAGAGGGCTTCTTCTCCGGCGTATCGTTTCGTTTACCGCAACCGGAGATAGAGAGCAATGACACCGACAGTGGTTATGACAATACCACTGCTGTTTATCCAATGAACGGAACCGCTTGGGATAATGGGACCGCAATTTCTTATTATGACGATAAGATCACTTATCAGGTCTTCACAGCGCAGTCGATGGCAAATGCAGACACTGTTGATCTGTTGGGCTATAAATTTTCCAAAGTATATGACAGTAATCTTACGGACGATTATCACAACGCTTTCAATCATTATTTACCGAAAGATAATGTCTATTATGTGTTCCGTTATTTGAACCGCACGTGGAGTTGTGGCCAGAATTGCGGTCCAAATACTCCTTTAAGTCTTATATTTTTAGAGTCCAATTTAGCGACAACTTTAGCCGTAAATATTTTCAGTCTTTTAGTAATATTCATTCATTTAATTCTGTATTTGAATTTTAGTCCCAATTGTTTGGTACAAATCAGACGCTAAAGACTCTATTCGGTTGCGGACGCTATCAATACGACTCCTTTCCTTTATTCAAACCAAACGACTTCTCGCCTTGGCTAGTTTCTGAACTCTCACAGAAGCCTAATCCTTTACTAGAGATGAAAGTTTTATTGCGGTTTAAGACCTTCACCAGACTGCAATCCTTCAAAAGTGGTGCCAATCCTAACATTACTTCGGAACCCATTTCCTTTGACTCCGATTTCACTTCAATTGTCAGCAAATTTAATATTGGTTTGAATTTTATGAATAAAATTTTTGAAAAAAGTCTAATTGTTTTTATTTGTTAACTTTAGACACGACTAAACCTGTGATGGGATTCACATTCAAACTCTATACTAAATCCAAGAAATGTCTGGCAAATGATGACACAATTCGGTGTCAACTCTTCTCGAGTCCACACTATTATAGGGCCTGTATTTACGGCGAAGTCATAACCAATCACACAATCGGCAAATTAGAGGACACTTATGAAAGAAAAGCATTTGCCTTTCAATACACGCCTTCGGGTCTGAATGAGTTCCCAGACATGGATTCCCGTCCGCAGACATTCAAAGAAACGCAACTCATTTTAATCAATTCTATTATATACAGGTAGTGCGATAATTGTGTAAACAGCGCTTGAATACCATGATGCTAATATAGTTAATATTAATAGCCATGCGCCCAAAATTGCCCTAAACATACATGATCTAAAATAGTTAGTGTTGACAGGTTGCCTTAATTGTACAACTACTAATATCCATAGCGTATTGATTAGCGTTGCCATAGGATTACGTGTTGTGACAAACCATAACATTAACCACAATGTAATGAATGACAAAATCAATGAAATCCATACAAATGTATCAAATATTTGCGTTAAGTTTGCAAAGTGTTTGGCTTTGGGTAATGGAGTGGTGAATGTGAGCGAATCAATAATATATGGGTAGATGTAATCGACCGCATCCATGCGCTCAGCGGTTATGGTAATGCCATCTATGCCAATGTCAGCTTGCTAATTTATTGAATCATTTAAACAAGGTCATTAATAGATCCAAAAATGTAATTCTATCTTACTCGCGAGAAATAGCATAATCAAAGTACTGTTGCAAGATTAACTCTTTTTTATTAGCATGGTCACAATAAACAGATAATCTCTGATTATTACAAAATAAAAAATATTTTTAATTACATACACTTGTATTGAGTGCACCGATAATTCCGTTCCAACTATTGTCGGCTAATTTGTTGCCAAACTTGTAGTCGCAGTCAATGATATCATACGTGAAGTTTAGTTTTGCTCGAAAAATGTTTATTATATTGACGTCCAGTCCTTTCGCAAACTCCAGTTTATTTGTGTGACTATTGTTTTGCAGTGACACCAATGGAGGCGCCTATCATTGGGTTTTGTTAATTAGGGTTTTGATTTAATTAGTTTTAATGATTAATAATGATTTAAAAATATTTTTGTAATATAGGAATATTTTTATTACAGTTTAATAAACTTTTATTTATGTTTATAAAGATGCAAAGAGAGAGGGGGAGAGAGCGACTTACATTGTTTGTGGCAATAATAAAATGATTATTTATCGTGGACATTTTCAAATAGTTTAAAATACAACTATGCCAAATATATTCTATTTTAGAAATATATTTGTAATAAATACTCTTAGATCCTTATTAGTATTGATTACATAAGTACTCACTAAATATAATTATAATCTATAAGGTTGTTATATTTGTAGACAATAAACATAAACCATATAATTATTAGCTTTCTTAATAATGGAAAACATAAGTTATATTTTATAATTTATACACAGACTGTATAATTATGGTAAATATTTATTGTATTTATATTATAATAATTTTATATACGGTTTAATTAAGAATTTAGAGCATAAACTAACTTAATGCTTTTAACCAGATCAAAATACAATAGACAATAGTAAACACTTTTGTTTTTAAATACATGATTGTAATAAACACAAGAAACTTTATATTTAATATTATATTGTGAAATAAACAGTATTAATACAATCTTAATAATTAACATAGCAAATTTAATTTTGCAATCTAGTAAAACCTAAATAACCTCAAAATAAACTCAATAATAATAGAAATACCACTCAATCCAATGCCCCAAATATAAGCCACAAATATGGTCTTAAATTTATTAATTGTGAACGATGTCCATTTGTGGTGATTTTGATCATGTTCATTTTCCGTGCCATGAGCCCAAAAATCAATCAAACCAGATGCGATCAATTTTGATAATCTAGTTTAGATATTATAGCATAGTTTAGATGCATAAACATGGTATACATTTATTATTAAGTTACATACACAGAATTAAATTGACGTTTATATTTAAATCCCTTTCGCAGTGCAATGGCGTCCAATTGCAACGAGATCGATGTTTTCTCGGACCAGGGTGGTAATATGTAGTGTTGATCATGGTGGCGAGTAAAATCAAAACTCAAGAATCGCCTGCTGGATACAAAAACAAATGATCCACTTTTGTTGTGCATAAATTCAGATGGATACGAAAAATCAACCAGTTCAATCGATGATCCAATATGCTTGTACAAATCGCCCTTCTCATGCTAATATTAAAATATGGCATAAAATACATATATTAATTAACCTAATTAAAATAAAATCTAAATATACAAAGTCTCTTACCATAATTAAATAATAGCTAGAATCCTTAAATGTGATGACACGTAATTCACGAATTTTAACCGCGTGTATTAGTGCATCGATAGAATCTATGTTAAAATCCAGGGGTATAGCCATCGACGAGACCACACGTCCACCATATAGGGAGGTCAGCACAAAACTGGCCATTAACCACGTGCTAACCAAAAATCTTAAATAGGTCGATTTAAAAATCTTTACATTGATTGGTTGTTTTAATATAACGCTGACTATTAGGAAATTGTAGCATGATTTTGGTAAGGTAGTTTTAATTGTCAATAATAATATTGTAATAATTATATTTAAAATAATTAATGTGATCCAGGTATAAAGATCGAATACATCGAATAGATGGGTTACAAAATGTTGATGTGGTAGGGGTGAGGCAAATGTGATAGAGTCTATGGAATAAGGGTAGGTGTAGTCAACTGCTTCCGAACGTAGATCAGTGATGGTGATTCCACCGATGCCTATGTCAGCTTGCTGCATTAATCATCATTTTACACTGTTATTAAGTTATTTTTAATTTAAACTTACTGTTGTGTTTAATAGGCCAATAATACCGGTCCACGTATTGTTTGCCAATTTATTGCCCCACGTGTTATGGCAGTCAATTAAATCGTATGTAAAATTCAAAGTAGTTTGCAGTACTCTGATTATGTTTGCATCAAAACCGTTGTATAATTCTAATTTATTGTCCTTGATGTTATTTTGTAGATATGTGTATGGTGGAGCCTGGTGATTAATTCATTCATATTTAGTTTGCTATTAAATATAATCAATATAAAATTATTAATTACATTGTTAGTTGCAATTACAATGTGATTATTATTTGAAATCATCATAGCAAAATTATACGCAATTTTATTTAATGTTTTAATTTTTGTATTTTTAATAAACTTTATAATAAATTTATTTTTATAATAATTTAGTTGCCAATAAAATACAAATTAATATTTAAGTTTATGAACAAAACTGTTAATATTGTAATTACATTTAATAAAGATCTTTTTAGTTTGTATTTTACCTTTCACTAAAATGTTTGTAAATAATTAATTATATTCTATTGAATAAAACAAAATTAGATTTGTATAAATTATTAAACATTAACTTATACAGTTTGTAAATAACAAAATAAATGTTAGTATAATTGACGTTCATCAAATTTAGAAATAATTATTAATTAAACATGTTCTCTATCATAATAAATAGTTTGTCTTTATTAAACTTATAGTCAAAGAGTTTTGAATAATTTATATTCAAATCACTGTATTATGTATTTATAATTGCGAAATGTAAAACAATGACCCCAAAATGTCCACAACATGTCCGTTAAGTAATCATTATTCTTAAAACAAAGTAAATGTTATATTTATTTATCCATATTATTGAATTGACCATGCTAACAAGTAAGTGGGTTTAAAATAATTATAGATATATTCCATAACTGTTACGATAAATGCGAAACAAACGCCCCATAAATATGTAATAAAAATCATTTGAAATTTTTGCATTTGAAGTGATTTCCATTTGTATTTATTATTTGCATTATTATTATGTCTCTGAAGTTGTTTAACCCAAAACCCAATTATACCCGAATCGGTTAAGTGTGACAATCTATTAAATAGCAAATTACTAGTTATAATTAAATGAGTCAATAAAAGTGAGTTAATAGAATTTATTTATAATATATTTACATAAGGTCAATTTCTGTTTTATATTTAAACCGTTTGCTATATGCTATGGCGTCCAGTGAGAGAGATAATGAATTCTGTTCATTAATTGGCGGTACTATGTATTTAATTTGATCATGAATATTTCTAGTAAATATTAAATATTTTCTACTCATAATAAATGAGAATGAGCCTGGTGTTTTGTCCATAAAATCAGCCGGAATAATATAATCGATTACTTCTATAGATGATGCAATTTGTTTAAACAAATCACCTTGCTAAAAAACAAAGTATACATTGGTAAATTTATTTTAAATGTTTTTAGTAATTGCTTTATTACCATTATCAAATAGTAATTAGAATCTTTAAAAGTGACCACTCGTATTTCCTGCGACTCTACAGCCTGTATGAGTTTGTCAATTGTATCTATAGTCACCCTATTTGGCATAGCTAGCAATGATTCCACACCCCCTGCGTACAACAGGGTCAGTATTAAACCGGCCAATAACCACGTGATAACCACAAGCCTTATGGTAAATGATTTATAATAATGCAATTGTAATGTTTGTCTTAACAATATGGTAACTAATCTCCAATGATAATTGTATGCATGTATCATGGTAGTATTGTAAATTATAACGATAAATAAGATAATGATTGACGCGACTAATAGCATCCAGGTATATTTGTCAAACACCTCGAATAGATTGGTTAAATATATATAACGAGGTGGCGGAGCAGTAAATGTTATGGTATCAATTTCATGTGGGTATGAATAGTCAATGGCCTCATGTCGCTGATCAGTAATTGATACGCCACCGATGCCAATGTCAGCTAGCTGCAATTTAAATAATGTATTTAGGTCAGGTGAGTTAGTATTTTATGATTAGAATTTAATAATATACAGATGAATTTAATAAGCCAACAAGGCCAGTCCATGTGTTGTTGGCTTGCTTAAATCCCCACACGTTATTGCAATCGATTAATTCGTACGTAAAATTCAGCTTATTTTGTAATTCAATAATAACGTTACTATCATGACCTTTTAGAAATTCAGTCTGGTTGGTTTTATTATTGTGATGCAGGTAGATATATGGTGGCACCTGGTAATAAGTGTAAATTTAATTATCTAGCTAAATAATTTCTTATATTACATGGTTGGTTGCTACGATGAAATGAACGTTGGTCAAGCTCATATTTTAAATTGTAGAATAAATAAAAATGCTGTTTTTAAATTAATAAA